TGTCCAAATCGGCTGTTGCTGCGACTGGGTCTAAAGTATAGTTGTAAGTGTTGGACTGATAGTTGTACCTTTCGTTTACGTCATAATATGTGAATACGACAAGAGCAAGTTTAGGGTATCCAACACCTATTGTCAACATTGTGGGCAGAGAAGCAGCTTATACGACGGAAACGTCTCAGACTGTTTTGAAGGTGTGCACGCAATTTAAGTTGCAGCCACATCCCGACTTTTAGTATAGATCCAAGCAATAAACCTTAAGGTGTTTACGGATTTTCGCAATTGGTCCTTCCGCCTGAGACATCTCGTGGGCTGCACAGTTACTTTAGAAAATGACATCACCACTGTCGAGATTCCCAAAAGTGCTAAGCAAGATGTTAGTTCCCATATATTTTCCATTATGACTTTCTTAGATCCAATTTTCTTACCTTTTTCCTAAATTTATCATCTTGCAGTTAGCCGAGGTCATTTCTTTGAATCGGACTATGATTGCTTGGGCGACAGATGTGAATTTATCCGCTGATAGCCATCTTGTCTGCGAGGAGAACGAAGGCTTTTACACCACGCAAGTTTTGTCGCGTGGAGCCTCGAGAAAGGGTAAAATTTGCTGAGGGTGCGGCAAAAGAAGTAACTCGATAATAGTGTTTTCTAGCTACTGGAGCTTCCTTCATTGTGATTGATGGCGGTCTAAAAACTAGCGGATTGCAGGTGATTACCCTAACTTCTTGTAAAAATGCCGCACCTGAAAGCTCTATCGGGTCCAGGACCAACGACCGGGGTGGTCGCAACCACTAGCGCGGCAGAGTCACCTCGCTGCAGCCGGCTAACCGACACGCACCGTGGCCTAGATGAATGTGCTGTGCACAGCTGAGAGAATAGTGCGATAGGACACATGTGGCGCACTGCGCGTTGGTCTTGGCCCATAAATCTTTCAGGGTGCCGCATATCTAAAGGAAATTAGGATTTTTAAAAACTTCACTGCATTCTAACTTTATAAAAGAGCATTAGTAAGTTAACAATGAAAAATCCTCTAGATATGATTTCACTAGTCGTTCCCTATGCACTTTAGATTTCTGTGGTTGAGGATGGAGTAGCCATCAGAATTCCTACAGAAAAACTGGAAAACCTGTTGTCGGCCTTGAATTCAATGCAGGTAGTTATTCGATTTCTTTACTTTCTCTAGTTT